ACAACCAAAGGTTTTAGGGTTCTGTCATGAATAATATGACATTTAGCCAACTATTTACGTAAGAAGGCTGTTGAAGATCACTTAGAAAAGGGTCAGTGCCCAATGAAACTGTAGGACCAAAGATGTTCTCCCTGAAAAAATGAAGAGAAAAATAATTGCCAGTCATCACAGTCACCATGATTCTTATGTACTGAACCACAGGTAGGATTTGGGGACACTAATAGCTAGAATGCTATGTAGGGTGTTAGTGCCCACACTGCTTTCCCTCTTACCACTCACTACTAAAACTACCATCATGCCCATTCTGATCAAAATGCAAGGGATAATACTTCAATGCTTAAATACGAGGGATAGTGTATTTCTCAGAGTTCCCGGACATACCACCTATATTCTAAAACAGTAGGAGAAAAAGAAGTAGAGCTAATGAGAGGAAAATTAGTGTCAAGCATGAGACACTCTTGACTAGCCCTGGTAGAAAAGTTTATGAAACACTATCCTAAATGGCATTGTGCTTTCAGCTTCTATATATGTTTAGTAAAGAAACTGGGAGATTTTTATAGCTTTCTAACTGATGACATCCCCTGCCCCATTCTTTAATTATGTCTAATCTATTTGCCATACTTCTGCTAAACTTAGTATTTCCACAACTCTTATCTAATGGCTTCTGTTGGACTAAATATTTTTTTAAAAACCCTTCTACCTACACTATGGGAGTTGCCCTGCTAATCCAAAGGCTCTACCTCTCTAGCAGTTAAAATCCACCAGTGGCTTCATGGGAGAAATAGGAGCAATCTCCTCCCATACAATTCATAATGAGGGGCAACAGTAAGGTGGTTTTGACTGGAGAGCAAGGAGGGTTGGTTTGTGGGGAGTTTTTTGTTGTTTTTGTTTTGTTTTGTTTTTAGTAATGGCTTCCTATTGTATTCCCAGTGTCTTTTAGGAAAAAAAAAATCTGAATTCTTTGGCTTAGCATTGAGTAAAATTCACATTTTGACTTTCAAGGCCACCTTTTCAGATTCTCTTATGTGTCTTCAAGTCCACTAAACCTTTACTAAATGCCGGGTGTTAACTTAGGCAGCAAAGAAAAATAATGCCAACTCTCTGCCTTGAAGTGAGAGAAACATAAACAGAACATTTCAAGATGAAAGTATGTAGTAAGTGTAAGAGTTAAAGGCCTACAAGGGCTTTCCTATGGGAAATGACCACCTTAGTTCTAACAATACACTACTTGGTTTTTTTAAAAAAAGTCTCACATTTCCATGTTTGATTCTTTAAGATGTGCTTTTTGACAGAAGAGTCCTGCCATATCCCCGCCAACTTGTCTAAAGCTAAGCCAGCACATCTCTCTTCATCATATTCTCACAGTTCTGCATGTCTCCATCACAGCATTTATCTCAGGATTTTAACTAGAACTTAATTACAATCAATTATATTCTCTTATCTCTTATCTATATCTTAGTATATATAGTCTCTCGTACACATCTATGTATAGCAAGCGGTCATTGAGTGCTTACTATGTGTCAGACTTTGTCTTTATTGTTTAATTCAAACCTTCCAATATTCCTATGAAGTAGCTACTACTATTATTCTCATTTTTTTTCAGATGTGGAAACTGAAGGCTGGTGTCTTGCCCAAAGTCACACAAGTGGTCTAAAAAGAAACCTCTGCCTGGACTGTTAGGTTCGGAAAGAATAAAATAATAAACGAATAAGCAAAATGACAAATGTTCGCCTACCTTTATGGAAGGAGTAGGAAGGGAGGTGAAGGCAGGCACTCGAAACACCAAAGCCAAGTACCTCGACAGGGTTCCTCGATTAAGAAAGTTGGTGCCGATCACTGAGTCCTTAGGCTGCTCATGCTCCGGGCAGCCGGGAGACAGGGAGGCCGGGACTTACGCCCAGGAAAGGAGGTAACACTATTCACTGTTTTACGGAATTAAGACGTCTATAAATCTGAGGCTGGGGTCCTGCCAGGCCAGAAAAGCGGGATTGAGATGGCCCAAAGCTGCCGGAAGTGCTTCTTACTACTTCGCTTGTACTACAGGAAGTTATTACTGTCTTGTTGCAACATATAAAGATGTCCCCTTCTACTTAGTATTCCTTTTCTTCTTTTTCTTTTACACCACCTTTTTTTTCCTTTCTTTTTTTTTTTTTCTGCAGCTCCACTTCGTAATGGGTTACGAAACAGCAACATCACTGTCGGTATCCAAAGAAGCCGATGGGAGCTGGGGAGGAGGCGCGACTAGGAACTTGGCTGCTGGGAGATGAGGTTTCTCAGGGACGGAGTTCGCGGCTGCACGCGGTGGAGGATGGCTGATTTCCCGCCTGGGTTAGAGCCGCTGGCTCCGCTAGAACTCAATGACGACTTCAAGAAGCCAGCTCTGCCGGTACCCCCGGTGGTGCGAGGGAAGGCGCCGGTCACCAGCCCTTCAGAGTCTGAGGAAGTGAAGAAAGAAAGGCCAGCGGCGCAGCCGCAATCAGATTCTGGGGACCCCGGCGTCCAGCCGGCTCAGCCGAACAGTGGAGAGAATAGGAATCCGCCGGAGGAGCAACCCTGTGCCCCGACGGCAACCTCCCCTAGTGTGGTGACACGGGCGCTTGCATACCAAGAGCCACCGTGGGGCGGCCCGGCCGCGGCTCCCTACAGTCTAGAGATCCTGAAAGGCGGCACCATCCTTGGCACCCGGAGCCTGAACGGGACGAGTCGCTGTCTTTTCGGGCGGCTGTCTAGCTGCGACGTGTGCCTGGAGCACCCTTCAGTGTCCCGGCATCACGCCGTGCTGCAGCACAGGATTTCCGCCACCGATGGAGAAGGCGACGGGCACGAGCCAGGCTTCTACCTTTACGATCTGGGAAGCACCCATGGCACTTTTCTCAACAAAACACGCATTCCACCCCGTACTTATTGCCGGGTCCACGTTGGACACGTTCTTCGTTTTGGGGGCAGCACTCGGCTGTTTATCCTGCAGGTAAATATGAATAGCAATCTCTGGCGCTCACTAGTCTCGGTCTTAAGCTGAGCAGTCTCCCAGTAGGCGATTCCTAAAGTGGGGGAAGCTTGACCCCCTCTCGGTGAAAAAAAAAATCCAATCCTTAGCGTGAAAAAGGTTTTATTGGTTGGGAAAACCGCCCTCAAGCAGAGAAAACCCTTCGTTAAGATTTTGATCAATTATGTATACACAATTTTATGTACAGAACAGTTAAGAGAATTTCCCTGAAGGGAAATAGAAAATACTTGCTTTTCATTTCCATCATTGGTAGGATTGGATTCGTTTATTAAGTCTGCATTTTCGAGGCTAGCATGACTTACCTAATTACGAAAAATTACCTAATTATTCCATCAGAAGAGTTGTATTACTTTGATTTAGGTGCTGCTGAGTCGAGAACGACTCATAGCAACCCTGTGAACAACAGATCTGAACCCTGTCCAATCCTGTGCCATCATCATCTCCGATATACTAGAACCCATTGCTGTAGTCACTGTGTGGATCTGTATCTTTGAGAGTCTTCCTCTCTTTTGCTGACTCTCCATCCTTGCAAGCATAAGCATGATGTCCTTTTTCAAGGAATAGTCTCTCCTAACAACATGCCCGAAGTATATGAGGCAAAACTTCACCATCCTTGCCTCTAAAGAGCACTCTGGCTGTTCTTTACCTAAGACACATCTGTGTGTTCTTTTAGCAGTCCAGGGGATATTCAGTACTCCAGTACCACAACTCAAAGGTGTTGATTCTTCTTCTGTCATCCTTATTCATTGCCCAGCTCTCATATGCGTAGCAAGTGATTAAAAAGACCAAGGCCTGACTGAACCAGATGTCATTAACCTGACATAATGCTGTTCAGTACTTTGGAGTCTGACAGCAGACTTTCCAAGTGCTCTATGTCTTTTCTTGACTGTGGCTATTAATTGTGGATTCAAGTAAAATGAAATTGTTGACAATTGTTATGAGTCATGTGGTAAGCAGTGTGCTGCCAACCCAAAGGCAAGCAGTTCAAATCCACCATGTGTGCTCTGAGGGAGAAAGATAGGCAGTCACCTTCTTGGTGATTTACTGCCTCTGAAAACTCTTTGGAGTCCGTTCCAACTTGATGGTACACAGCAAACAATCATGATGCTGCCTGTCAGGCTAGTAGGAAAGACATTTGTGTTCTTGATGTTGAGATAATAATTCTCAAAACTCATTGCATCCAGTTGGAACCAACCTATAGTTGACCCTCCAGCAGATTTTCAGAGACTTTAAATAAAAAAAGTCAAGACTGCCCATCTTTCTCTCACGACTAACTGGTGGGTTTGAACTACATGCATTTTGGGTTGGCAGTGCAACTCCTTACCTACCAGGCCACCAGAGCTCCCTTAAGTGCCAGTATTTATAAAATAGAATTTAAAGAACAGCTATACAGACTTGAATATATAACTGGTTGTCTTTTAAAAGTCCTAATGAAGGGAATCTTACCCTTTAAAGAAAAGATAAAAATAAAAACCAAAAGTTTGATTAATTGGAGGTTTGAAATTCCTTTTAAATTGATAAACAAAAATTCCTGTATTTAAGGTTGGCTGGCATTAACAGTTCTCCAGAATTGAAGGTTTGGAACTGGCCTGATAGTGATAGGGAAATATCCTGGATAGTGGGAGACAAAATCTGAGCAGAGAAAAAAAAAATCATTTTAGCAGCTGGGGAATAGATAATGTGATTGTCTATGCTTTAAAAAAATAAAAGCAGACACTGGGCATGAGCGGCCCAAGGAATCTCTCTCTGCTTGATGCCCCACTCATTAGCCTCCCTGTGCCGGGCTGGCTGATCCCAAGACCCGTTTGACACAAGTGCTGGCTCCATGCCTTGGTGGCAGGGGTCACCTTGGTTCACTCTTGCATCTGGGCCTGTCATCCCCAACCATCGACTCTCCAGATGCTTGGTTCAGAGAAGGTATCACTCAGATCTTTGGTCAATGAATATGTGAACATCCGAATTGCTGGAGAAATTGTGTTCAGAAAGACTTGATGGATAACTGTGCCTTCTGGAACATTAAGGTTTCCCTTAGGAAGTGGCTGATTATTTCTTGGGGCGATGACTTAGGAAGGCAAACTGACCGCTAGAACTGCAAGCATTTTGCAAGACAGCCAACTGAAACTGAAGCTGGCCAATATCCAAAAAGTTAACTTTCTACAGCTGCATTCATAAAAGCCACCTGCCAATGAACTCATTGCCACTCACCTGCCACTTGCTTATTATGCTAGATGCCACTGCAGTGCATGCGGATTTCTCTGTCCCAGTAATCACAAAGGGACTTTACAGATAACTGGATCCAGCAAAACCTTCGTTACCTCCTGTACTCAACAAGCATACCTGGAGTGTCAAGAAGCTTTTCTTCTTTAGCTCACTGCTCTTTGAGTTTTAAGTGTTTTCATTGTTTGTTTTTATAATGAAGACCTAGCTTTTTCAGTTACCAAGACTGGAGAGTTTAGATAACTTCAATACACCAGTCACCAACATCTCTGTACTCTTTACTTCTAAAGATTGATTCAGATCTCTCACAATGCACTGTGACAAAACCACAAATTCTTGCAGTCCCTCGAGAACTGAAATGTCTGCTTCTCCTTGATATTTCTTAGCGTAGGGAACTCAAATCAGACTTAGCTTTTCATTTCCTCCAGCAGAAAGATATCCAGCCTAATGTGTCACTGGATATTTCTGAGGGTGGCTGCATCATTCACTGATCGAAGTTTATTTGGCAGCAGTCTTCAATTTATAGGATTATTGGCTATAGATACTGGTTATTCTGACTTTTTTCCTTACATAGTAAGACTTGAGTTTGCTGGAGGAGCCAATATAAATCAGATTTCAGAAGCCCTGAGCAAATAACAGGAGTAGGTCATGTTTTAAGAAGGAAGCCTTCTACAGACTCTTCGCAGAAATGTTTTCAGTGCAGATAACCATGCCTGCTGTATTAAAGCTGGTGACTTGTAGGAATGTGAAACCATCTATTGGATTTGCCGTTACAGTTCACAGAGATTATTAAAAAACAAAACAAAATCATACTAGGTATAGTTTAGGTTTGAGGCTTAGTCGTGGACTTGTTTCCTAATCTTAGGTAGAACCTCTTTACCGTATGATATCATCTACTTCAAGGGTACATTGATCTTGATTGGGTCTGGGTTTTAGAGATACCCAGAGAACTGTTTCTCTGAGTTGAATGCTGTTTATGAATGGTGAAGCAGCACCTAAAAGGATGATTTTCAACAGAGGTCAGGTACTGTTTTCTTTTAATGTTTTCAGAATAATAAATCTCTTGTTTCTAGATTGTATCCTTCCTCAGGAGTTGGATCTCAGAAGACTGCTTATACCTGTTTGAGATGAGTTTAGGAATGATTCATTAGAGATTGTAGGATTCTTAAGGAATTTGGCTAATTTAGTCTTTAGGCTTATATTTGTTTCCACTTTTCTCATATGACTGTGGATGATAAAGATAGTGTAGACGTTAGAAACGGAGCCGATTGTGATGAATTTCCTTGATAACTGATTCTGTAAAATGCATACTTCAGTCATATGACAATTCAAAAAGCACTCCTCAAAAAATACTTGTTCCAACTGCTTATAGTTACTACAGAATTATGTGCCTTTTTGCTAGAAGTTTTTTGTCTTGTTGAGTTTTTTTAAATTGTTGCAGTTATTACTTAAGATATCCTTTCTAGAGGGGTAAGGATAGTGGGGGCGGGAATCATAGGGTCGCACAATTTGGCGGGTGGAGGTTGGAGGTGTATGGAGGTTCCACCTGTCATCTTTCATCTTGAGATTTATTGTAAACCCTAACCTCTTTGTCTATGCTTGTAATCTTATTCTGTACTAAGTTTTCTGCTGTGTTAATAAGTAAGGATAATATATCTTACACTGTGCTTTGGAGTTCTGGTGGCCTAGTGATAAGAAGCTGTGCTACAGTCCCAAAGGCATATGGTTCAAATCCATCAGCTTCTCTGTGGGAGAAGGATGGGCAGTCTCCTCCTGTATGATTAACTGCCTTTAAAAACCCACGGGAGGATCAGCTATGGGTCATTTCCAACTCTGTGGTAAACAACAGTGAGGCAGGAGTAGGAAGGGATTTATCTTGTGTCCCCACCTTATTATCAATGTATGATCCAACTCATCCACCCTTTTGTTCCTTAAGGGTGTGTGTAGTCTGTAGCTAAACAAGGCTGTGTCAATCTATATAATGCAAGCTGGTGATGAGTCGTCTTCTGATCCTGATGCCATAATCCTCTTAATAAAGGCAAGCTTCTGGAATAATCTGCTCTGCAATCAGATTGAGTAGATGTGGAGAAAGGATACAGCCCTGACAAACACCTTTCCTAATTTTAAACCATACAGTATTTTCTTCTGTTTGGACAACAGCTTCTTGGTCTAGGTAGAGATTTTATATGAGCATAGTTAAGCATTCTGGGATTCCTGTTCTTCTCAGTGTTACTATAGTTTGCTGTGATCCACACAGTCACATGCCTTTACATGTCCAATAAAACAGAAAGAGACATCCTTCTGGTGTTCTTTACTTTCAGCCAAGACCCATCTGACATCAGCAGTGTTATTTATCACTCGTGCCATGACCTCTTCTAAATCTACCTTGAACTTCTGACAGTACTCTGCTGCTGTATTATTGTAACCATTTTTTAAAATAATCTTCAGCAAGATTTTACTTGGATATGTTGTTAATGATATTGTTTGGTGATTTCCACACCGTTGGATCACTTTTTTTTTTTTTAAATAAGAACAAATACAGATCTCTTCCAGTCAATTGGTATCTTTCAGATTTATTGGCATAGACTGGTGAGCACATCAAGGGCTGCATCATTTTGCTTGTTGAATCATGTCAGTTAGTATCACAGCAATTCCCAGGGCCTTATTTTTTGCCAGTGCCTTCAGTGTAGCTTGAACGTCTTCCTTCATTGCCATTGGTTCTTCATTATATGCTACTTTCTGAA